ACACACACACACACACACACACACACACACACACACCTCTGGTCAGTACACTGTTTCTTTGTTCCCGCCTGTGAGGGCATGGAAAACTGCATCAGAGCAACAACAAAGTCATTATTTTTTACTAAATGTTCCAGTTTGAGCGTTTTAATCAAGACATTTTCCCCCCGAACAGTGAAAACACATAAAAAGTATTAAACAAAACTGAACATTAAAACWGATAAGAAGGTTTAGAAATGAGTTGGAAAACATCTCATGTGATACAAAGTATCTGTTGATTCTCAGCTGTTAGATCAAATTTTAGCTCAACATCTGCAAAAAAAAGTCAAGTTTGTTTTATGTTTATTAGGATTAGAAATTAGGTACTATTTAAGTTAAGCTAAAAAGTTAAAATCTTGATAAATTCAAAGCCCAAGTGTCTTTTTAAAATAGTTACAAGTTTAAAAAAATCCCACACAAACCTCTCTATATTTAGGTAAAAGACTGAAATGTTGACGCAGCAAACTAAATTATCCTCTGCTACTGTGGGGATTTTATTACAGACTAAAAATTGACTCAGTTTTTGCTAAATCAGCTCATTGCTGTGACAAAGTGCAAAGATGAGGAAAATAATCTAACTTGTACGATTTTAAAAAAAAGGTAAGAGATTGAATCTGTTGGCAACAGGATGTGTGATGCCAACCTCAGAGGTTGACAACAACACGCACAGAAAAATGGTGGCAGGTTTAAGAAGGTGGTGCGTGAGGTGTTAAGATGTGTTTTTGTCGAGCAGGAGGGGGGCCTCTGAAGCCTTCTCAGGTGTCTGTGTTGTGTTACAGCAGGTAAAAAAAGGCTCAACACACCACCCGCAGGATTGGGTTTCGGCTCTGGTTTCACACCGGACAATGGAGCGACAGCGTTGACCGTGTTCACGCACACGCAGGCTTAACACGAGCTTCAGTTTGATGGGCAGAGATCTCAGGTAGACTTTAAGGGCAACAAAAAAACTTATAACGCAGCACTAACGACTCATGGTCCAGGCTGCACAGACTTCGTAGGGGTGGAGGTTGGAAACCTTCGTAAACRGRCTCGCTCRTGACCAAAACGAGACGAAGACAAAAGATCCAAAGAGCTGCCAAGTTCTTAAAGTAACCCTGAGAGCCAAAATCAAACCCTTTTAATGCAATCTTGGACCAAAAGTCCTTCAAGTTGCCTCCAAGTCTCAAATGACTAAAAACATCAAAGCTAAAGATTAACAAATTATATCTAAAGTTAGGCTTTAAATAAAGCATGCTTACCTTTAAAGTATGAGTTTCTGTTCTGTGTGTGGGTTTATAATGTCTTTAAAGAACATAATCCACAGCTCTGTGGTCAAGTGATTAACCTACATTAAATACTGTTTAATGTATGAGCCTGTGAGTAACTCAACTAATCTAGCAATGATCTACATGAAAACACCAGCTTGTTTCAGGACTGTCTCTGTTATAAACAGCCACTTTATCAGGATTTATGGTCCTTAAAAACACCAGAACCAGAGTTGTAAARTAACTAAGTACAAAACCTTTTAAAGTAGAATTTTTGGTTATCTGTACTTTACTCGAATAATTATTTTTCAGCCTACTTTTTATTTCTACTTCTTACATTTTCACACAGTTACCTGTACTTTCTACTCCTTGTATTTTTAAAAAAAATGTAAGAAGTACAACGTTTTTACTTTTATTTCATTTTTACTTGTTTTCATTCCAGCTTGTTGTAAAAAATAAACACTATCCATTTAAGTTGTGGCTCCTAGATAAGAGTGAATTTAATTGTGGTTGAATGAGAAGTATAAATATATAAAATACTGATATCGTWTTAGTTTCTACACAAACATATTATGTCACACTCCAGCAGGACATAATCATTAAAAYAAAAGGACTGTACTTAAGAAGTATTTTGTATTTCATGAATTATATTATTGCATTTGGCCGCAGCCCTCAGATATATTTTCATTTTGGGGAAAAGGTTTGGTCACCCTTGATATATGTTTATAAACTGAAACAGATAGACGAGTGCATCCTAAATTTAACATCTATTAATTATTTTAATACGATATAGTCATTTCTGCATGTTTTTGGGAGG